TGAAATACAATGTTGATTGACAGTGGTAGCACCTTTGTGTTAGTTTCTTGTCGTTTTACCTGGTCTGTCCTGTCTCCTTTACCTGATGCGTTAGCTCCCTGAAGGCAGCGTGTGTCTTGGACTCCTGCAGATCCCCTTTCTTCTTGAGCACAGTACCATGCACACTGAAGGTGCTCCCATCTTTGATAAATATCCTCGACTTGGTGAAATCTTATATTTTAAACACATTTCCACATATTCTTTCTTTATAACAAACATTTACTGAGTTGCAGTAGAAGGTGAATAAAGGAGTAGCATTTACCTTCAAGGAGCTTAAAATTATACTTCTTCTTACTCTCCTACCTACCTCTACCATTTCCAACAGGTATTCGATGTAGTTCTTAATCTAACAATGAGGGTTAGGTTTGTATGTAAGTGATTAAAGGGCTGCCACAAGTGAAAAAAGTGTAAAGCCATAAAATGCCAACCACTTCACAATGTACTTTCCATATTTCTTAAAGACACAGCATATTTTCTTTAGGGAAATAGCAGGAGATTAAAGTGGAATGATGAGTTGGGGCAACATAGTGGCATCCCTTGAATGCTAGAAGAGTGTGACCTTTTATAGAGGTTGGTGGGAAGCAGAGTGCTGATGAGAGCTGGCTTTTAATAACATGAATCTGTGGGAGGCTGAGGCAGGAGGATTGTTCAAGCCCAGGGGTTTGAGGCTACAGTGAGCTATGATTGGGCCACTACACTCCAGCCTGGGCATCAAAGCAAGACCCTGTCTTTAAAAAAAAAAAAATGTTAATCTGGCAGCACTATGGAACTGGAAAAGGAACAGTAAGGAGCGTATTACAGATGCACAGATAAGAAGAATGAGGGGCTGGGCATGGTGGTTCACACCTGTAATCCTAGCACTCTGGGAGGCCGAGGCGGGAGGATCACTTGAGGCAAGAATTAAGGACCAGTCTGAGCAAGCTGGAGACCCTGCCTCTACTAAAATTAGAAAAAAATTAGTCAGGTTTGCTGACATGTGCCTGTAGTTCCAGCTACTTGGGAGGCTGAGGCAGGAGGATCATTTGAGCCTGGAAGTTTGAGGTTGCTGGAGCGAGGCTGATGCCATGGAACTCTAGCATGGGCAACAGAGTTAAGACAACGTCTCAAAAAAAAAAAAAAAAAAAAATGGCAGCAAAAGACAGGACATGGACAAGGGCATTGTGGAGGGAAAAAAAAACCAAATAAACCACGATGTGCCTTGGCGATTAAAGGTAACTGCATAAAGGGGAGAAGTCAAAGGTAACTGTATTGGGCTTTTCATTAACATAAATAGGAAATGAGTGGTTTCACAAGAAAAAAATGATGAATTATACCTTGTATATTGTATTAATTATATATTACTGTGTAACAAGTTATCAAAGAATTTAGCAGCTTAAGAGAACAAACATGTATCACTTCACACAGTTTCTGAGAGTCAGGAATCCAGGAGCAGCTTAGCTGGATGGTTCCAGCTTAGGTCCTCTCATGAGGTTGAAGTCAAGATGTCAGCCAGGGCTACGGTCATCTGAAGGCTTGACTGGGGCTGGTGGATCTGCTTTCAAAATATCTTGCTGATAGCTGTTGGCTGGAGCCTGGAGTTCCTCATTGGCCATTGGCAGGAGGCCTTCATGAGGCTACTTGAGTATCCTTACATCATGGCAGCTAACTTCCCCCAGAAAAAGTGAACCGAGAGGGTGCCACAAAAAGGCTGCAATGCCTTTTATGATTTATTCTTGGAAGTCGCACACCATCCCTTTTGCTATATCTTTTTCATAAGAAGTGAGTAACTAAATCTAGCCTGTCCTCAAAAGGGAGGTTGGACTCTACCTTTTGGAAGGGACATATGTTGAATAATTTGTGGGCATATTTTAAAAGCATCATAGATACATAGTGTCTTGAGGACAAATAAAGTGAGACTGCAAATAAAAATATCTGGTAAAAGAAATCCAGAGATCTAGAGAGCCAAGTTCCCTACATATGGAAGTAGGTCACAGCTGGAGCTGAAACTATTGAAGATGAAGAACTTCTCAGGCAAGTTTTATTTAATGATATCTCTCAACCAGTCTCATTATTAATGATCACTGTTCCTTCTTCCAGATGATCTTATTCCAATTACTCTAATCTTTTTTTTTAAATTTCCATTTTTAATCTCGTATAATTTTGGGTTTTTTTCCTTCAAAGCTGTTTATTATGAAAAATTTCAAACTTACAGAAAAGTTGAAGGCTAGTATAATGAACATCCATATGCCTACCATCTAGATGCAGTCATTGTCAATGATTTGACTTATTGACTTTATAATTTTATTTTCTGAGCCATGTTTTAGATAGCATTCTTTTGTAAAGAAGAGTTTCTCCGTGACCTTGGAATAAACTATAGATTCTCTAAAAAAGATAGGGTATCAACTTAATTCTTTTAACTATTATTTTCAGAGTGGGGAACTAACGTAGCTATCATTTGCAATGCCAGCAAGTGATTCTTTTTTTTTTTTTTTTTTTGAGTACCACTATGGACTCATAATCCAAAGGGAAAAAGCATATGTAATTTTATTATATATTGCCCAATACCCATGGAGGTTTACCATTTTTCGCTCCTACCAGCATTGTAGAGGGTCCCTGTTTTTTCGCAGCCTTGCCAAGAGAGTCTGTTGTCAAACATTTGAATTTTTGCCAAACATTTGAATTTTTACCAAATGTAGTAAGTGAGAAATGGTATCTTGGTGCAGTTTAATTTGTATTACTTTTATGAATGAGGTTGATCATCTTTTTATGTGTTTAAGCCATTTACCTTCCTTTTGCTGTGTTCTTTATCTTTTGCCTATTTTTCTAATGTTTGGTCTTTTTCATCTTAAGAGTTCTCCCTATATATTAGGGAGATTAGCCCCTTTTTCTAAAGTAAGTTGATATATTTTTTCCCAATTTGTCATTAGTTTTTTAACTTTGCTTATGGTATTTTTGTGATATGCAAAGATTTACTTTAATGTGCTAAATGTATTGGTCATTTTTTTTTTTTTTTATTGCTTCTGGATTTCCAGCATGGTTAAGGTTTTCCTCACACTTGGAATTATAAAGGGATTTACTTAAATTTGTTTCTAGAACTTATGCAGCTGCTTCCCTCCTCCCTCTTCCTCCCCACTTTCCTTTCTCCCCACCTCCCTCTCCCCATTCCTTCCATCTCTCTGTTAACATTTTGATCTCTGAACCATTTGGAGTTTGTTCTGGTACACAGTGTGATATATGGACCCACTGTTATTTTTCTGATGGCTATACTGTTGCCCAATGTTTTCCTAGTGATTTGAGATACCATTTTCATCATAGACAAAATTTCCAAAAACTTGAGTTTTTGCATTTTATATATATATATATATATATTTTTTTTTTTTTTTTTTTTTTTTTGAGGAAGAGTCTCTCTTTGTTGCCCAGGCTAGAGTGAGTGCCATGGCGTCAGCCTAGCTCACAGCAACCTCAAACTCCTGGGCTCAAGCAATCCTGCTGCCTCAGCCTCCGAGTAGCTGGGACTACAGGCATGTGCCACCATGCCCAGCTAATTTTTTCTATATATATTAGTTGGCCAATTAATTTCTTTCTATTTATAGTAGAGATGGGGTCTCGCTCTTGCTCAGGCTGGTTTCGAACTCCTGACCTTGAGCAATCCGCCTGCCTCAGCCTCCCAGAGTGCTAGGATTACAGGCGTGAGCCACCGTGCCCGGCCAACATTTTCTATTTTTTGACTTCCTATTCTATTACTTTAGCAGTCTAGGTCCAATCAGGAGATAGAAACTGCACAGAATGTTCAACAGGTGGAAGTTGAATATAAGTAATTACAAACTATCATAAGAGATTAAGTGTTAGATACAAGGAAACTCTGGTACCCTAAGGCTGAGGGAAAGTACCCAAGGAAGGACAGACTTAGAGGGGTCTCGGAACTCACTAGAGAAAGTGAGCTCTAACTAAAAGAGCTGTTCGCTGGTTCAGCCAGGCGGGAGCTGGCCTGGAATTGCTGGGCGAGCAACGGGCCAGCTCTGAAGTGCAAGCAGTGGGTGATTGGCAGTGGGAGTCCAGGTGCTCTTGGAGGCCGAAGACTTAGAGCATGCACGTTGTGCAGGATGATGAGTCTTGCACAGTGAATGACTTCACGGTGTGTGACCACAATCTGGACAGGTGACTGCGGAATGGTTATCACGCTGAGGCTGGCAGGTTGCCAAGGGACTTTATTCTGGGGGGCAGGCTCCACGCTGGGCTTTGCAGGGCCCGAAATCACAAGTCCTTCCTCCTGTAGTGTCCCTATAGTGCCCTCTACTGAGAAAGCTTAACATTGTGCTCACTCTAAATACTCAAGAGGAATTCCGTTATTTATCCCAAAGCTTACACTGAAGGGCACATTCCAAACTGAGAGGCAATAGGTTGATAAGTGACACAGCTATACTGGTAGGTCTATTCACGTGCTAATGCTCATTGTTTTTTATTATTGGAGATTCATAGTGTTTTTGAATATTGGTTAAGGCTATCCCTGCTCATTCATCTTCTCTTTTAGGGTTTACTGGTTATTCTTGCTTATTTTTCCATAAGAACTTTCGAATAAACTTACCTGGTTTCAGAGAAAAAACACTTGCTGGGATATTTACTTAATCCTGTGCTTTTTAATTTAAAGAGTATTTTATAATACATTCTTGTTAAAAAAAATTCTTGTGGATGACAACAAAAAAAGCAATAACGAAGTGCATGAAGTAGAACATAATGAGAGTTCCACACTTCACATTCCCATCCTTCTGTGGTTAATACTTTTGTGTATATCTTTCAGGATGTATTTGTAATCTCATTCAAATGCATTTTTTATATATATATTTTTAAATTTACTTTTTTTTTGCTAGAGTCTCATTTGTTATCAGAATTAATAAATGCATTTTTAAATAAAAATGTTTGAATACTTTTTAATAACCTGTAGCTCTAACTAACTTAACATTGTCTTTTGTTTTTCTTTACAGCTATTACACTTGCCCATGAGTCTTTGAGAACATTATAATGTCCCTTTGTGCCTCTTCTCACAAGGAGTTTTCTCAGTTGTTACCTATTCAAGACATGGATATCAAAAACTCACCATCTAGCCTTAACTCTCCTGCCTCCTACAACTGCAGTCAATCCATCCTACCCCTGGAGCATGGCCCCGTATATATACCCTCCTCTTTTGTAGAGAGCCGCCATGAATACTCAGCCATGACATTCTATAGCCCTGCTGTGATGAATTACAGTATTCCCAGTAGTATCAGTAACTCGGAAGGCGGGCCTGGTCGGCAGACCACAAGCCCAAATGTGTTGTGGCCAACTCCTGGGCACCTCTCTCCTTTAGCGATCCATTGCCAGTCGTCACATCTGTATGCGGAACCTCAAAAGAGTCCTTGGTGTGAAGCAAGATCACTAGAACACACCTTACCTGTAAACAGGTAAATCCAGTCTTCATTCTGAATAGTAGTTCACGGGTATCGCTCAAATCACTACATGATTTAGGGAGAAGAAAGAGATATATTATACAAAGTCTTTATTAGTCACATAGATTACTTAGAACATTTAAAATATATGATGCCCTGTTCTGCTCTGATATTCCAGTCCTCATTATAAAGTTCCACTTCTAGATCAGCATTGTGGGGAGAATTCACTGTTATGACTATCATCTTTATAATGACTGAACTTAAATCACTTTTTTCTTGATGGAGGTATTTGGGTTTGAAAAATAAATTTTTACTTTCAGGTTGGAGCTATAGCAAAATTACAATTTAGTGTTCATAACAAATTTTTTTCAGGATAACAGTAACTGTGGCAGTATTATAACTTAAATGAAATACTGACATGTGAAGCCTGAAAAGACAGATAATTGGTATGAGCTTTTTAAAATGAACTAAAATAACATTTTATAAAGATTGGTGGGAAACTATAACATTGAAGGCTTCAGTTGAAATTTCCTGAAGTTAAAAAGAATATTTGCACTCTTTAAATACAAGGTATCAGCCAGGCGTGGTGGCTCTTACATGTAGTCCCAGCTACTTGGGAGGCAGAGGCAGGAGGATCACTTGAGCCCAGGAGTTTGAGGTTGCTGTGCGCTAGGCTGACGCCACGGTACTCTAGCCCAGGTGACAGAGCAATATGTTGTCTCCAAAAAACCCCCAAATTGCAAGGTATCATGGATTATTCCCATCAAACTTGTAACATTTTAAATGATAATTATAGGTATGATGAGAAGAGATGGTATGGAGGGAAGGAGGAGGGGGAGATAAACTTCCAAAGCAACAAAGTACTAAGAGTATCTTGGATATTGAAATTTATCACTTGCAAATGTTGCCATAAAGTTTTGAGAAAGCAATAGTATACCATAATTTTATTTGTATTTTAAAAAACATTTTATTTATTGATAAAATAAGAGAATATAAAAATCGTAGATAACTTTTTTTGGAGTAATGTTTTTCTTCAGCCTTTAAAGGAAGAAAAATATTTTGTTCTAAGCCTGAATTCTAATCAATGTTATGCTACTATGTGGGCAAATTCAACTATAATATAAAATATTTATAAATCAATACCTCTACCATTCCCTTTCCCCTTTCCAAAAGGAACACGCCCTGGCAAAGCCAGGAACCAGCAGGACAGGGTCCTGGTGCGGTTCAGTGCTCCCTTGCTGGTCTCTTCATCCCTCTGTGAACCTCTGCTCCTCTGCCCCTCATCCCACACGGGCCTCTGCTTCCCCAATGCCTTCTCAGGACGGGCATGCGCTCCCTCGCTTCCTTCCCTCTCCCTTTCTCTTCTCTTCCCTTTCTCTCCCTCTCCCCTTTTTCTCTTTCTCTTTTTTTTAGCCATCGTGATCATTCCAAGGTAACTTAAAGTTCGTTTGTTACTCCTCTTAAAGTTATTTTTAATCTAGGCCTTTATCTGAAATTGCAGAATGAGAGATTTTTGTCCTCCATTTACATGGGAACCTCAAACATCTGAAGGGCTACGCAGCACCACTGTTGGGAATGACCGATGTCTGGAAGTGTTTGTGTGAGTTCAGGCCCATCCATTCAGCGTTGAACTCTAATAACTATGGAAGCCTGCTGCATATCCTGCTTGGGTAACATTTAATCAGGACAGTTTTTTTTTTTTTTTTTTTGAGACAAGGTCTTGTTCAATTGCCAGGGCTGGAGGGTAGTAGCACAATCATAGCTCAATGAAGCCTCAAACTGCTGGGCTTAAGCAATCCTCCTGTCTCAGCCTCCTAAGTAGCTGAGACTACAGGTGTACCCCACCGTGACCAGCTAATTTTTGTATTTTTTTGTAGAGATGAGGTCTTGCTCTTGTTCAGGCTGGTCTTGAGCCTCGCTTTCCCATAATGCTAGGATTAAAGGTGTGAGCCACCGCACATGGCCTAGGCTGCTACTTTTATTACCCTCAGAAATACGCCTTGCCCTGTGGCTACTATAGCACTGCATGGGTGGGCACAAACTAACTGGACCACCTTCAAACACCACTCAGCCACACAGTGTGACTCTTCATAGATCTGATGTCAGTGTCAAAGGTTTTGTTCTTTCAGATTTTTTGGAATATATTTATCATGAGCCCTGAAGGTCATAGAGATCCAATCAGGCAATGTTCATGCTATTTTTTTGTAGAAAGTCCATCCTTTCCCTTTTATGCTTTTTTAAAATGGTTCTTTTCTTCACTCCCCAGAGAGACTCTGAAAAGGAAGGTCAGTGGGAGCAGTTGTGCCAGCCCCGTCAACGGTCCAGGTTCAAAGCGGGATGCGCACTTCTGTGCAGTCTGCAGTGATTACGCGTCGGGTTACCACTATGGAGTCTGGTCGTGTGAAGGATGCAAGGCCTTTTTTAAAAGAAGCATTCAAGGTACAAGGGTGTTGTTAACTGCTTCTTCAGTTTTCCACTTTAGCTTTCAAATGATTTTGCAGACATGACTTGGCAGAAATTGCACCAGTGGCCTATTTGTTACAAAAAGTACTTGATGAGCAGTTCAGAGGATCATACGTGTTTGGCAGTGGATTGGGCGATGAAGTGGATTGTTTGAGTGCAGAGCTCTTTGTCTTTAATTGCAGATCTCTACCTCAGAACCTCAAGCTTATAAAGCCGATTCGAATGGGTCTTGCCCCCACCTTCACCCAGGGGTGCTAGGGACAGGACAGCTAGTTACAACCTTGTGAAGACACCTCGTGGAAGAAAACGTGCTCGTTAGGAGCTGCAAAGATCGTTTCTTTCTTTGACTTATGTTTAATATGTGGTTTGCTTAATGGTTATGATGGTGGGCTAGCTTCTGAGGGAGGGAGAATGAATACATTTTATGGGGACGGTCAGCACTCAGGAATTCAACTGCAGTGGACTTTGAGATTGATCTAGAAGCTTGTCTTCCCCTGGGCTAGTAGAGCCTCAGTTCACAATCCCCTTGTTTCCTAGGCTGGGTTTAGATCATTTCCCTAACTTTCTCCAAATTCCTTCTGGGCTGTCTTTTTTTTTTTTTTTTTTAATAACCTTTTTCATCAACTTCAAGTCGTGCACATCTGGTTTCAAGGTCAGTCAGCCATGTCCATGCACGTTCTTGCCACACTCCCCCTTTCTTGCCAGCCCTGATTTGCTGGCTGACTTTCTTGGTGACTTCTGCTTCTGTCTCTCTGCCCCATAACCCCTGCCCGAACAGTCCCCTCTGAGCAGTGTCCTGTGTCCCACCTGAGAGCTCCCTTTCCTTTTCTATCAGAGCCTCAAAGTGCTTTGTTCTTCACCAGTTAAGCAGAGCAAGGTTAAGGGAATTCATAGTGTGCAAATGGCAAGTTATTTAGTAAATAGCAACTTACTAAGTTAACTCACCCATTGATAACTCTACATTAAGAAGACATTTTACCTCAAGCAGAGAAACACTGATAGAATCCAGAGGGTGATGAGTACGATATTGGAAGATCACCTTCCTAGTGTCCCCGAAATTCACCCTGTATGAATGGCCACCTCTTTGTCCTGCAGTTTCCACTTAATAGAGCTATGACTTCACCTCCCAGCCTGTTTCCTTCTCTGTGGAATGGAGATATTTAGAGTTGTTCTATAGATGAAATGAGGTTGACTATGTGAAAACATATATAGTGCTTAAATATTTTTATTTATGATAATTATAGCAGTAGATTGTAAGGCCAGGTCCAGTTCCCTGCCATGTATAAGAACAATTCAGATTTTCTAAAGGTCAGAACTGAACTCTTGATAAATTAACAATTCTATATCTTGCTGAAGTTCCACGATTTTACCCCTTAAGGATATACTGACCTATTAAAACTGTGAGGGTGAGGGGAAACTTGCCCCTTTTGCTTGAAAGTTCACTGAAAGATCAACTCACAATTAAGGCAGATTCATAAAAGAAAGAGGTTTATGTACCATTAACATGAGGAGAATCACAGAGTGATTAGTCAGTATTCCAGTGGGACCCAGACACTTTTATACCTGCCTTTTAGAAGGTCTGCAGAGATGAGCAGTATAGGTAATTCTGTTTAGGGGCAATAAATAGTTGCTAGGGAGGATAAATGGATGGGGGAACAGATTGACTTATAAAGGATTCTCTTTGCAAATTAACTGAAGAGACAGGCATTATATCTAAGATGATTTGGACCGGGTCTAGTTACATTCTTTTTTTTTTTTTTTTGAAGTTACATTCTTGATCTGGTTTTTCCTGCAATATACTACAATAACAAGTAGAGGAAGGGAAGTCAATTGTTCTTTTGGTTGGTCAGTCCGGTTCATGCAGATAGGGGGAACGTCTCTTCCAATGCTTTTTGATCTTGAAGGGCCTTTAATTCAAGATATTCTTTATACTAAGGAGTCATATTTTGGTGTGAAATTTCCTGAGCTCCTTCATAACTAACTATATCTTTAAAAAAGAGACCCTTCTTTTTTGATTTGGAGAAACATCTGCCTACCTGAAATATCTCTGAACCCTGAGACTAGAGCTGGTAACAGTTGAAAGTAAGTGTCCTCTGCTTTCCCTGTGTCATTCCTTCCTACTACATCAGCCAGAACTGTCAAATTCTAAATGTGAAAAAGGGAAAGAGTTAAAGCTCTTACAATTGTTCAGTGCCTAAATTATCTTTTCTTTGGCTCTGTCATGTTTTTGGCACAAATGCATTGCATTAACTGAAAATGGCCACTCAATTTTTAAAATTGTCTCAAATAGGATGGGATGGTGCCACTATTAACTTGAGAAATTCCTTGCATTTAACGTTCTTTTGTTTTTATAATTTTAAACTTGTCCTGCCAATTTAATTTGTAAGCTACTTGACCATATCCTAGTCATATTTCTGTCCCCTTCACTGTGCAAGTACCCTGGAAGCTGTGTGGTGCTTGGCATCCCTTTGGTGCTGACCTCGTTGGCTTCTTCCCACAGTGAGTTCCAGAAGAGTGATACGTGCTGCTGTCTCTCTGCTGGGTTATGGAGCACAGAGGAAAGAGGGTGCTAGGAGAGGGTCCTCATCACTGCTGGTCCAGACTAAGGCATAGCTTATTTTTCAGGCTTGTTCTTTACTTTTTGTTCTTTTTCCTATTGGTAGTTATTTAACAAATACTTATTGTGCACTGTGCTAGGCTCTATAGATATGATGGTGAACAAGACAATAGATTATACATTTTATGGGAATAAGAATGTCCATTTTGTTCACTGCTGCCACTCAACAATTCCTTGAATGATATTTTTGAAAAATTATTTGGGCTCCTATTATGCATAGAGTTCTGTATCCTTTTTCACTTAATGCTGTTTGGTAAGCATTTCCCCAGGTCGTTAGATTTCCAGAAACCTTTTTCACAACTATATAATATTCTATCTTGTGATCCAATTTGTTTTACTCTTCATTATAGAAGACCTTATTGTCAGTTATTTTTATTATTTTAAATAATGCTGTGGTTAATATATGTGTTCATGAAGCTTTGAAAAAATCTCTAATAGTTTCTTTGAATATATTTTTAGAACAAATCTATAGGGTCAGAGTGTATTAATGTTTAAAATTCTTGACAGATGTTTTCAAGTGTTCCTTAGAAAGGTTGCACAAACTTACTCTTCTACCTGCAGTGTATGAGTGTTGGTTTTACCAAACTCTTGGTAGCACCAAGTCTTATCACCACAAAGAAGAAATCTTGCTAGATTTATGGGTGATATATGGTATCATTTGGCTTCTAATTTGCTTCTCTTTACTAGTGAGGTAAATGTTTTCTTACAAATTTATCTGCCATTTGTATTTCTTTCTTTTATCTTCTTTATTCAGAGATCTTGTCCATTTTTCTGTTGGGTTCTGGCATTTTCCTTATACATTACTACGTGCTTTTTATATTATTAACCTTTTATCACATGTACAACAAATATTCCAGTTGACTCTGATTTTGACATGAAGAAATATTTAATCTTTAAATAGTCAAATATCACCAACATTGATAATAGTTTGTCTTTACATTTCATTATTTAATTCAAAAGGAATATATCATACATTTGGCATACTGAGTGAAATAAGAATGAAATGTATTTATCTCAAAATAGTCAATTTTCTCCAAATTATTTTATTGAATAAATTCATCCATCTTTCATTGACTTAAAATATAGAAGCTGATTTTTTAAAAGTTGACTTTGAGATATAATTTATATACATTAAAATTTACCTATTTTAATTACAGGTTTATGAGTTTTAAAAATATATGTAGTCATGTAACCATAATTAAGATATGAATGTTATCAGCACCCCAAAGAGTTCCCTTGTATCCATTGCACCCAATTTCCCCGGCCCTGGGAACCACTGATCTGTTTTCTGTCATTATAGTTTTACCTTTTCTAGAATATCCCATGATAGAATCATAAAGTGTACAACCAGTTGTGTTTGGCTTTCACTTATCATTGATGCCTTTGGGATTACCTGTTGTTTCATGTATCAGTAGCTCATTTCTTTTTGTTGCTAAGTAATATTCCAATGTATAGATATGCCACAGTTTGTATATTCATTAATTTGGGTTGTTTCCAGTTTTGTGCTATTTTAGATAAAACTGTTATGAATAATCATGCAAATCTCCCTGTGCAGACATGTTTTGTTCTCTCGAGTATCTAGGATTAAAATTACTGATTTTATGGTAAGTGTATGTTTATTAGAAACTAAACTAACATGCTTTTCTGGGAAGAATGGGAAAAAAACATTATTTTCCAAAGTGGCTAGACCATTTTGCATTCTTGACAAGAATGTATGAGAGTTCCCATTGCTCTACTTTAGTCATTCTAATGGACATATAGTAATACCTCATTATAGTTTTAATTTGCATTTCCCTAATTGCTGATGATTTTGAGCATCTTTTCATGTTTCTATTGATTTTTTGCTTCTATATATGTATATATGATATATCTAGTTCTTATATAAACTAGCATTTTCTTCTGTTCTTTTGTTCTATCTCTTTGTTCTTATATTAAGTACTATATTATTTTAACTATTGTAATTTTACTATACTTTTTCTTTTTTGAGACAGAGTCTCACTTTTGTTGCCCTAGGCTAGAGTGCAGTGGTGTCATCATAGCTCACTGCAACCTCAAACTCCTGGGCTCAAGGGATCCTCCTGCCTCAGCCTCCTGAGTAGCTGGGATTATAGGCGCATGCCACTGTGCCAGGCTAGTTTTTTCTATTTTTAGGAGAGATGGAGTCTCAGTTTTGCTCAGGTTTGTCTTGAACTCCTGAGCTCAAGGGATCCTCCTGCCTTGGCCTCCCAGAGTGCTATGATTACAGGTGTAAGCCACCATGCCTGGCCTTATTATGCCTTTTATACCTGCTAGTACAAGTTAAAAAAAAAAAAAAAAGGTCTTGGCCATTTTTTTCTTGTTTATTTGTCCAAAGGAATGT